GGAAAGATTACGCTAAACACAGGAATTAGGTAAAACAAATAACATGGGTTTTATTGTATGGAAAGTACAATGAGTAAGAGTTCTTAATAATAAGAAGAAAAACGGGAGATACATCACGGAGAACCGTAGTGGTACTGCGGCTACAATACTTCGTCACGTCTTTTATTTTCTCCTCATTCACGTCTCTTTAGACTGACCAATCGCTGTCGGGGTGTGATAGGTTGTTCCACTATAACAGTTATTCACTGCTTTTCTCTAACCTTCTTGTTCTCTTGCGAGTGTCAAATTGATCTTTCTTCAATATAAATCCTAGAGATGTCAACCATCTTTATCTTTTCCATCTTTTCCTTAAAACTTCCTAGTTACTCACATGTTCAGTCCGTGGTATTCTCAGTAACATTCTGCAAAACCACATTTCTATTGACTCTTCTTTGTCTGTGAGTAGCTTTCTTAAGAAATATAAGCCAGATAATAAAATATTCCAAAATTCAGTCCGCAAAGACTGCAAAAACTAAAATATCTAATTCTTGTATGAATTTCTGGAATGAAGAAATATCGTTATTTACATTATGACGAATATTCCTATCTTTATTGTTAGTATCACAATCACAATGTTTCGGCCGATGTGCTCCCAGACCTTCTCCAGAATCTTTGAATCTAGTCGAGGATCTCGATATATATATATATATATATATATATATATATATATATATATATATATATATATTGTTATATCATGGATAATACGATATAAGTAACTAAGTAATTCCGATTGGAAAGATTACGCTAAACACAGGAATTAGGCTAAAACAAATAACATGGGTTTCATTGTATGGAAAGTACAATGAGTAAGAGTTCTAATAATAATAATAATAATAATAATAATAAGGAAAACGGGAGATACGTCACAGAGAACCGTAGTGGTACTGCTACTACAATACTTCGTCAGGTCTTTTATTTTCTCCTCATTTACGTCTCTTTAGACTGACCAATCGCTGTCCGGGTGTGATAGCTTGTTCCACTATAACATACATACATATATATATATATATATATATATATATATATATATATATATATATATATATATATATAAATAAAAAGCAGTTGTATAGATCTTTATTTAGCGAGTTGATAATGAGAGTACTAGAAGACCTAAATGGAACTGGAAGGTCTACCCATGATGGCTCCTACCTTGAAATTATCATAAAACATCAGGATGCATGATCGATAAATTCAAAACACTAAAATTCATCGATTATTTTAAATAGGTTGAGCACACCAGGTAAAAAAAGAATGTGACAGCTAAGCTTATTTGTTTTACAAGAGATGTTTTTTCGTCTTCTAGATGAATCGGCTCTCAGGATGTGGGTGATCATTTAGCTATTCAGCTTCCTAGCCTTAGTATCCCCTAGTAGTGTTTTCTTATTTTACTATCCCCATCCCCGTTCCTTGTTTAGTCATCCTTTTATACAAGCTTACAGACTGTGTTCCTCTTGCCGTCAATATGGCCTTTGAGTGTCAAACTCTCCAAGTACTCTTTCCTCGTTATATCCTCATCAAATTCCAAATGTCTCTTTCTGATTCTAAGTGTTCCTTTTGTGCCATTTTATTAAAATGTCCTCATGCACCGTCTATGCTATTCTCAGGATTCTTCTGCATAACTACATCATTGTTTATATATATATATATGTGTGTGTGTGTGTGTGTGTGTGTGTGTGTGTGTGTGCGCGCGCAAATATAAAAAAAGAAAATGACTGTAGACTAGATGCCAGGTCAGGATATATTGTATTGCAGATTCTTTCTTTGAATCTCGTCGAGGATCTCGATATATATATATATATATATATATATTTGTTATATCGGGGATAATACGATATAAGCAACTAGGTAATTCCTAGTGGAAAGATTACACTAAAAACAGGAATTAGGTAAAACAAATAGCATGGGTTTTATTGTACGGAAAGTACAATGAATAAGAGTTCTTAATAATAATAATAATAAGGAAAACGGGACATACGTCACAGAGAACCGTAGTTGTACTGCTACTACAATCCTTCGTCACGTCTTTTATTATCTCCTCATTTACGTCTCTTTAGACTGACCAATCGCTGTCGAGGTGTGATAGTTTGTTCCACTATAACAGTTTTGTTTCCAGGCATATCAACACCATATGTGTCATTTAATGCCGAAGTTTTCTAGGGAGCATTAGTAATTTCATTCCCAGAAATATATTTGCTGTTAAATATTATTAAAAATAAGTATTGTTGGGTAATTTTTTTTCAAACCTTTATTTTAATTTTTTTACTATGAAAATGAATTGCTTGTATTTTCATTATAAAACTGTATTTTTTACTTTCATAGTACTTGACCCCGAATATTAAAACTGATGAAAATTTCTCATCTCAAAAGATTAGACTTACAGAGGATAGAAGTTGTGGAGAGCCTTGACCGCCTAACTCATGAAGGGATACGGCATATAAATGCTGGTCCGAATATCAAAATTGATGAAAAGGCCTTACCAAAAAATGTTGCCTAAAATCATCAGTTCAGTTTGCGACTAATAACAATCAAGGTGAGGATGCTGGTCTGAATAGCACATATCTAGGGGTGTAGAAAGACGAACTACCTTCTCTACACTAATTTTTGAACATAGACTCGTCCGTACTTTACGAGTAGGACGTCTGCTCATATACAGAGCGGTCGTAAGGTTGGGCCGTACGCATTGCCGCACTGAACTACGGTATTCGTTATTATGATATTATTAATCCATGTCCGTCATGTGATTAAATATTTTCTTCGGTAATCTTTTGTTCTAAAGCGTCCTTACTATATTATTAACCAAAAAAAAATACGAGTTATACGAACGTTATATATATATATATATATATATATATATATATATATATATATATATATAAATATATATATATTTATTAAAGACATTTAAAAAAAAATGTCTTTTATAAATAAATTGTCGGACTTTGTCCATTTCTTAATATATGACGTTATTTGTTTACATTTGATACGCCAGAGCAGTTATGAATGTACGAGATTCATGGAAGATTGAAGTTTATAAGCAGTAAATTGTCTACCGAACGCTTCTTTGTGGCCGAACGGTATGGCACGTCAGCGTAGATGACGGTTCCGTATAGGATGCAGGTTCGAATCCTGCCAAAGAACGAATATTTTCTATGAAAATTCCTCGGACATTCAGGCCGGTAAATGTTATTTAATACTGTTTATTATAAACAGAGCATATAGTTAAATACTTGTATCTATAAATAACAACGTTAAACATAAAAAAAAAGAAAATGTCTTTAAGAAATAAATTGTCGGACTTTGTCCATTTCTTAATATATATATATTGATATTTCCACATCTAAAAATAATTAATATACATAGTCGAGAGATTAGTTTAAAGTTAACCTACGCATAAACAAATGTCTTTTATTGAAAAAAAAGAAAGAAAATTTATTTTGATCGTCTATTTGGTTTGAGGCTTGTTAGCACAGAAATGTTTTTGGAAATTATTCACGATTCCTGTTTTGTTTGGCAAACATTGACTCTGTGTAATGCAACCTCGCTTCTTCTTCGATGAGAAATATCAGTGCGAATTTAAAGCTTTTAAGATGCCAACACTGATTGAGATCAAAATTCGCGAAAACCTGTCGTTAATGGAACCGTATGAGTTCCGTCAGAACAACCTTAATAATATGAGTAGAGTTAATTTGAAAAATGAACTCAATCAGGATGTTGTTTTTTTTCCGCATCAATAGCATTGCCCGCTTCAAATGTACTTCGTAAACAATGAAGCAACGGAAACAAAATCTGTTCAGGTTCGAGCGGGAGCAAAAGCGAGATTAACTCTGACGGTGAGGTTCGAGATTTGAACGAAAACGCATGAGGCCCGGTGGATGTGCTGGCGATTTTAATGAGACCTGATGTCGTCGTTTTGACCTTCGATGGCCACGAGGTAACCTTCTAGTTAAATGCCGTCTGCCATAGAAATGTTAGTGATCACAGTTGTCCACAAGGTAGCGTTAGTCCAGTCTTCAAGCCTAAATAATTTAGTTATGTGCCATGCGTGACACACGCTTAGGCGATCATGTATCTTTCGATATCTTTGACGAGGCAGATTTTTCCCGAAGTAGGTTGCCATTTCTTTATGCAGTAGACCAGTTTCAATCCAAAACTATAGAACCTGGTCTGTCCTGTTATTAACCCATAGCTAGGGGGGAGTAGAGGATTCATGCCTTTCCCAAGGGTATTAGCATGTCAGTCAGTCAGTTACGTACCATGCTTGATACATGCTTAGGCGATCATGTATCTTTCAATAACTTTGACGAGGCAGATTTTTTCCCGAAGTAGGTTGCCAGGGGGAGTAGAGGATTCATGCCTTTCCCAAGGGTATTAGCATGTCAGTCAATTAGTCAGTTACGTACCATGCTTGATACATGCTTAGGCGATCATGTATCTTTCGATATCTTTGACGAGGCAGATTTTTCCCGAAGTAGGTTGCCATTTCGTTATGCATTAGACCAGTTGCCATCCAAAACTATAGAACCTGGTATGTCCGGCTATTTACCCATAGCAGGGGGAGAAGAGGAGGATTCATACATTTCCCAAGGGTATTAGCACGTCAGTCAGTCAGTCAGTTAGTTACGTGTCATGCGTGATACCTGTTTATGTGATCATGTATCTTTCGATACATGACTGACGCGGGTGACTTTTTCCCTCACAGGAGTTTTCCATTTCTTTCTGCAGTGGACCAGTTACCATTCAAGGCTATATAAACGGTCTGTGCTGCTATTTACCCATAGCTGGAGGGAGAAGAAGAAGATTCATACGTTGCCCAAGGGTATTTGCACGTAAGTGAATGTAGTGGATTCGACTGGAATTCGAACTCGGCTCTCCGAACCCTTATCCACTACGCCGCTGACCTTCTTGCAAACAATATTCTGTCATTGCTTCGTCTCACAACCTACCTATAATTATACTTGTACTGGTACTAGGAGGAGGAGGAGGAGGAAGGGGGAAGAAGGAAAAGAGAAATGATAAAGAAAAGGAGAAAAAGAAAGAGAGAGAGAGAAAGAGAGAGAGGGAGAGGAAGAGACAGTGTGGAAAACATACTTTTTTGTGCTAGTACTCCTATCCGGGATCATGACTGGCCCGTAGGCTATTACTTCTGATATTTTATTAACTAGATTTGCCTCGAAGCAATGACCTGTTGCTAAAAGAAGTTATCTCAACGAAAAGATCATCTCAACGGAAACCGTGGTTGCAAGAAGGTCAGTCTTTCTGATGTTTTGTTTATTAATTTGCCTTATTTTTTTCTATGAAAATAGTATTGAGCACACTTAATTTGGCCATTGTTTAGACCAATATCTCTTTACAAAAAATTAAATTCATAATTATATATATATATATATATATATATATATATATATATATATATATATATATATTCATGAATTATTCACACAAAAAAACAAATACAAAGGTTAATGATTTAATTGGCGAGAAATCCATCGTCGCGAACAATTCAAATAATATACAAAAACCCGAACCTGTTTATGAATGAAAAGATCCTTGTTTCTATAAATTTCTGTTGCATGTTCGGGGTTTTTGTATATTATTTGAATTGTTCGCGACGATGGATTTCTCGCCAATTAAATTTAACCTTGTATTTGTTTTTGTATGAATAATTCATGAATTTGTAAATTAATTGCACCTTTTTATTGATATATATATATATATATATATATATATATATATATATATATATATATATATATATAAGTATATGATTGGTGTATACGGAATAAATTCCAATAACCAACAATTACAATTCTTAAAAATTGCTCAATACAGAGTAGAGCGAATATAATTATTTATTTAAAAATTATAACATAAATTGTTATAAAATCACTACAAATATAGCCATTTTGTTTCAACACCTTTGGTGTCTTATCAAGTGATGATGTTGAATGTAGATTGTAGAATAAAGGTTTTACAAGGTTCAAATTAATTAACCATCCCTCGTAAGGGGAAACGCTGTCACATGAGCTGAAATGACCAATCAAAATATATACTTGCAAATTTAGGGAGTGGGATGCTCTCCACCGCCTTAACCAGGTATTGAATAATTTTAAAATAACTGCTAAAGAACACTGGATTATAAATGTGACTGTTCTTTCCTATTATTTGTAGCGTTGGAACCATATATTTAAATAAATATATATATATATATATATATATATATATATATATATATATATATATATAAGCAAATATATGGATATAGATCCGACAGTATGAAGAAAAATATATACGGAAAAAAACATATATACTTGCAAATTTAAAGGGGGGATGCTCTCCACCACCTTAACCATATTGAATAATTTTAAAATATAAAGAACACTGGATTATAAAAACAAACCATATATTTAAATAAATATATATATATATATATATATATATATATATATATATATATAAGCAAAAATATGGATATAGATCCGACAGTATGAAGAAAAATATATACGGAAAAAAACAAACAAAAATCCTTATATACAATTATGCTGTTTTAATGTTAATATGTCAACGTCGGACGTTTCGGTCTAATAAACCATCTTCAGGACATATTCGTAAATTATAAAACATAAATTATTAAACATAAGAACAAGACTTATCCAAACAAATAACTGAAAGTTTTATAAGATCAGCGCTCTGTATTTTCTAGCGAGATTAATGCTCGACAAGCGTACATATAAATTTTAGATCAAAATAGAATTCTTTTCATTTTTCATTCAAAATACTCAAATTTTAGGAATACGTTTTCACAGCGTCGCCCACGTGACGACAACGTGACCATGTTTTAAACGGAGCGCTGATCTTATAAAACTTTCAGTTATTCTGTTTGGATAAGTCCTGTTCTTATGTACATCGTCTTTGTCATGTTGTATTGATAATGTTAATTATATTTTATGAATATGTCCTGAAGATGGTTTATTAGACCGAAACGTCCGACGTTGACATATTAACATTAAAACAGCATAATTGTATATAAGATTTTGTTTGTTTTTCAGTATATATTTTTTCTTCATATATATATATATATATATATATATATATATATATATATATATATATATATATATATTTATAATAAAATTGACAATAGGAAAACTGGTAATTGCTGACGCGTTTCGTCCAATGTGGACTTTATCAAAGCAAAATACGAAAATGAAATTAAATGAACAAAGTAACTAATAAAAACAAAAACAGAATGTACCTAGCAACTGGAATGTAGAGAAACGCTATTTTCATATTTTTTAACTGAAAAATAACGTCAGTTAAAAAATATGAAAATAGCGTTTCTCTTGATAAAGTCCACATTGGACGAAACGCGTCAGCAATTACCAGTTTTCCTATTGTCATTTTTATTCATAAATATTGTCTTCTCTACCGATTAAATCGGAGAAATTTTCACATATATATATATATATATATATATATATATATATATATATATATAATACACACACTCACACACGCTTCTTTTTTTCCTCATCCTACTACTACCAGTACAAATATGTACAGATTGGTTTTGAGACATAGCAATGACTCATTTCCTGACAAAGTCATCTCAATACCAATCGTGGTTGCAAGGTTAGTGTTTCTGATATTTTGCGTATTAATTTGCCTTACATTTTCTTTCTATGAATATAGAATTGAACACCCTTAATTTGGCCATTGTTTAGACTAATATCCTCTTTGCCAAAAATTAAATTCATAATTTTATATACACCAGATATACACCTGATGAAGTCCGTCAGGCACAACTACGTTAAAACAAAATATGTCTCCATCTTGAAACAGATTTTACTATGTTTCAGAAACCGAGGCTCAAATCTTAAAATTTAACTTTAAAGTTTAAACTTAAAATTCGGATCTCGGTGGCATTTTCAAACGATGCTAAGAATAACTTGAAATAAAAATAATTGTTAAAACAACTCTGGATTATAAATCAGACTGTTTTTTCCTATTATTATATATATATATATATATATATATATATATATATATATATATATATATATATATATATATATATATATATATATATATATATATATATATATATATTTCATTGATTACAACAGACAAGGTGCTTTTATTTATTTTTTTATACAAATTCTCATGCGATTTTTTTTTCTTTTCGGATGATAAATTATATAAAAAACTGTCCGAATGTTCTTTTTATCAAAGCGCTTTTGGCTATACATTTAGAAATTTTCAAGGATTAAACGTATAGCCGAAAGCGCTCGAATAAAAAGAACATTCCGACAGGTTATATATTCCGAAAAGAAAAAAATCGATTTATTGTATAAAAAACTAAATAAAAGCACCTTGTCTGTCATATTCAATGAAATGTTCATGAAAGAAGGATTGCTGCCTAAATACACACACTCACACACACACACACACACACACACACACACACACACACACACACACACACACACACACACACATATATATATATATATATATATATATATATATATATATATATATATATATATATATAAAAATGGAAACAATCGAGGCGTAATGTTATCTTTGTACAGAAAGATAAACACACGAGACTAACCATTTCAAATTATTGTTTATTCTCCTTTGTTCTTCGTCGATTGACAGTGGTGAATGCATATATGGTTTTGTGAGATTTCTCCGAACGTGGATATCCTTCACGCAAGTATATGAATTTTCCTTCTCGGGTGATAAAATTTTCCGACTTCTTTTTGAATTTGAAGGTCTGGTGAATTGGATCGTGATTACAATTCCAATGTAATAAATTATAACCATCGAATATTAGTGTTTTTAGACACACACATACACACACACACACACACACACACATATATATATATATATATATATATATATATATATATATATATATATATATATATTTTTTTCCTCCTCCCTACTACTACCAACAGTACAAATATTTACAGGTTGTTTTGTAACGAAGATATGACTTGGTTGCATGTGTTTCTGATATTTTACATATTAATTTGCCTTACACTTTCTATGAAAATAATATTGAGCACTTCTTTAAAATGGCCGTTCTTTTGACGGATATCATTTTCTGAGGGGGGTGGCGGAGGGGGGTTGTATCACCTTTAGCTAGAAAGCAATGCTACTAAACCACAGGGTGTTACAGGGTGCGGAAGAATTAGGAACAGAAACGTTAATAATGATGAGCAAAAAGTCTAACAATCGAGAAGTTCAACAAAAGGAACTGTTAGCATAGAACTTACGGTTACAGCCATCCAGCACGGCTCTAAATTGATGACATCTCGACGCCAGTCTAGTGCTGTGCTTAAATTAAAAATCTCTAGGTACCATAGGGAAGAGCTCATCCGATTTGCCAAAATTCCAATTCATGAGTATATATATATATATATATATATATATATATATATATATATATATTGTCATCCACAGAAAAACTGTTTCGCTGTAACACAGCTCATCATTGTGTCTAGATGTCCGACTGCTTCAAGCCGGGGTCGAAACCTACCCTTAGGCTATCGTCGCACGGCAGAGAGAAAGGGATATTTTAACTCTCTCTCTCTCTCTCTTTATATATATATATATATATATATATATATATATAATTGGTATATTCCAATAAACAACAATTACTATTCTTAAAAGAGTGCTCAATACAAAGTAGAGCAGATATAATTATTATTTATAAAAAAAATTTATAAATAATAATTATATATATATATATATATATATATATATATATAGTGCACAGGTATGCAAAAAATAGAAAAAGAACACGTTGGGCATAATCCGGAGTTCCTTAGTATTTTTGTTTTATTTTTAAGAAGACAGTGCTCCATACAGAAGTAGAGCTTTATTATATATATATATCTGTGGGTGTGTCTCCGTATATGTGTGTGTGTGTGTGTGTGTGTGTGTGTGTGTGTGTGTGTGTGTGGACTCACCAGTTGATTTCGACGTATTAGGATCCGACAACCTCATTCGATTTTCAATCCCGCTAGTAACCTGTATATAAGTCCACATATCATGTACAGTGAGGAGAGCGACAGGAATATTTGTTAACGCTCTCAGCCTATGT